GCTTCCCAGAAGAGTGGAGGCTGTTATAGCAGCAAAGGTGGGACCAACTCCATATTAATGCCCATGATTATGGAATGAGATGTTGGACCAGCAGGTGTCCACATACCTTTGGTCTTGTAGCGTAGTCATACGTAGTCTCTGTAGCTGTTTCTTGTCCTCTCCTCTGTGCTGTGCACCTTCCCTCTCTGGTGCTATCTCAACCCTCTCTGGTGCTATCTCAATCAGTCTTTCCTTGATTCATTGCATCCTCTCTCCTCACATCCTTCTCAAAATGCACTGGAGAAGTAGGTCCAAGGGGAAGGAACTTGAACCTTTCCCTCCAATACGGTTGAGGAGGCGATAAGATAGGTAGCAAGGAATAGCGGAAAGACGAATTGAGATATTTCCCCTGTCTCGAAAGCCCTCTGGGGGTCTGGCCCTCCTCTCCCCTGCAGGTCTGGGGGTCTGGCCCTCCTCTCCCCTGCAGGTCTGGGGGTCTGGTCTGGCCCTCCTCTCCCCTGCAGGTCTGGGGGTCTGGCCCTCCTCTCCCCTGCAGGTCTGGGGGTCTGGCCCTCCTCTCCCCTGCAGGTCTGGGGGTCTGGTCCTCCTCTCCCCTGCAGGTCTGGGGGTCTGGCCCTCCTCTCCCCTGCAGGTCTGGGGGTCTGGTCCTCCTCTCCCCTGCAGGTCTGGGGGTCTGGCCCTCCTCTCCCCTGTAGGTCTGGGGGTCTGGTCCTCCTCTCCCCTGCAGGTCTGGGGGTCTGGTCCTCCTCTCCCCTGCAGGTCTGGGGGTCTGGTCCTCCTCTCCCCTGCAGGTCTGGGGGTCTGGCCCTCCTCTCCCCTGCAGGTCTGGGGGTCTGGTCTGGTCCTCCTCTCCCCTGCAGGTCTGGGGGTCTGGTCCTCCTCTCCCCTGCAGGTCTGGGGGTCTGGTCTGGTCCTCCTCTCCCCTGCAGGTCTGGGGGTCTGGTCTGGTCCTCCTCTCCCCTGCAGGTCTGGGGGTCTGGTCCTCCTCTCCCCTGCAGGTCTGGGGGTCTGGCCCTCCTCTCCCCTGCAGGTCTGGGGGTCTGGTCCTCCTCTCCCCTGCAGGTCTGGGGGTCTGGTCCTCCTCTCCCCTGCAGGTCTGGGGGTCTGGCCTGGTCCTCCTCTCCCCTGCAGGTCTGGGGGTCTGGTCCTCCTCTCCCCTGCAGGTCTGGGGGTCTGGTCCTCCTCTCCCCTGCAGGTCTGGGGGTCTGGTCTGGCCCTCCTCTCCCCTGCAGGTCTGGGGGTCTGGTCCTTCTCTCCCCTGCAGGTCTGGGGGTCTGGTCCTCCTCTCCCCAGCAGGGCTGGGGGTCTGGCCCTCCTCTCCCCTGCAGGTCTGGGGGTCTGGTCTGGCCCTCCTCTCCCCTTCAGGTCTGGGGGTCTGGTCTGGCCCTCCTCTCCCCTGCAGGTCTGGGGGTCTGGCCCTCCTCTCCCCTGCAGGTCTGGGGGTCTGGCCCTCCTCTCCCCTGCAGGTCTGGGGGTCTGGTCTGGTCCTCCTCTCCCATGCAGGTCTGGGGGTCTGGCCCTCCTCTCCCCTGCAGGTCTGGGGGTCTGGTCTGGTCCTCCTCTCCCCTGCAGGTCTGGGGGTCTGGTCCTCCTCTCCCCTGCAGGTCTGGGGGTCTGGCCCTCCTCTCCCCTGCAGGTCTGGGGGTCTGGTCCTCCTCTCCCCTGCAGGTCTGGGGGTCTGGCCCTCCTCTCCCCTGCAGGTCTGGGGGTCTGGTCTGGCCCTCCTCTCCCCTGCAAGTCTGGGGGTCTGGTCTGGCCCTCCTCTCCCCTGCAGGTCTGGGGGCTGGTCCTCCTCTCCCCTGCAGGTCTGGGGGTCTGTTCTGGTCCTCCTCTCCCCTGCAGGTCTGGGGGTCTGGCCCTCCTCTCCCCTGCAGGTCTGGGGGGTCTGGTCCTCCCCCCCCCTGCAGGTCTGGGGGTCTGGTCTGGCCCTCCTCTCCCCTGCAGGTCTGGGGGTCTGGCCCTCCTCTCCCCTGCAGGTCTGGGGGTCTGGCCCTCCTCTCCCCTGCAGGTCTGGGGGTCTGGTCCTCCTCTCCCCTGCAGGTCTGGGGGTCTGGCCCTCCTCTCCCCTGCAGGTCTGGGGGTCTGGTCCTCCTCTCCCCTGCAGGTCTGGGGGTCTGGTCCTCCTCTCCCCTGCAGGTCTGGGGGTCTGGTCTGGTCCTCCTCTCCCCTGCAGGTCTGGGGGTCTGGTCCTCCTCTCCCCTGCAGGTCTGGGGGTCTGGTCCTCCTCTCCCCTGGCAGGTCTGGGGGTCGGGTCCCTCCTCTCCCCTGCAGGTCTGGGGGTCTGGTCTGGGTCCTCCTCTCCCCTGCAGGTCTGGGGGTCTGGCCCTCCTCTCCCCTGCAAGGTCTGGGGGTCTGGTCTGGTCCTCCTCTCCCTGCAGGTCTGGGGGTCTGGCCCTCCTCTCCCCTGCAGGTCTGGGGGTCTGGTCTGGCCCTCCTCTCCCCTGCAGGTCTGGGGGTCTGGTCCTCCTCTCCCCTGCAGGTCTGGGGGTCTGGTCCTCCTCTCCCCTGCAGGTCTGGGGGTCTGGCCCTCCTCTCCCCTGCAGGTCTGGGGGTCTTGTCTGGCCCTCCTCTTCCCTGTCTTTTATACAGGTAACGAGTTCAACCAGTAAGAATTCCGGCTCTCACAGACCTGTTAGTTTTTCTTTAAGAAGCCCTCCTGTTCTCCACTCATTACCTGTATTAACTGCACCTGTTTGAACTCGTTACCTGTATAAAAGACACCTGTCCACACACTCAATCAAACAGACTCCAACCTCTCCACAACGGCCAAGACTAGAGAGCTGTGTAAGGACATCAGGGATAAAATTGTAGACCTGCACAAGGCTGGGATGGGCTACAGGACAATAGGCAAGCAGCTTGGTGAGAAGGCAACAACTGTTGGCGCAATTATTAGAAAATGGAAGAAGTTCAAGATGACGGTCAATCACCCTCGGTCTGGGGCTCCATGCAAGATCTCACCTCGTGGGGCATCAATGATCATGAGGAAGGTGAGGGATCAGCCCAGAACTACACAGCAGGACCTGGTCAATGACCTGAAGAGAGCAGGGACCACAGTCTCAAAGAAAACCATTAGTAACACACTACGCCGTCATGGATTAAAATCCTGAAAACACATGCAAGGTCCCCCTGCTCAAGCCAGCGCATGTCCAGGCCCGTCTGAAGTTTGCCAATGACCATCTGGATGATCCAGAGGAGGAATGGGAGAAGGTCATGTGGTCTGATGAGACAAAAATAGAGCTTTTTGGTCTAAACTCCACTCGCCGTGTTTGGAGGAAGAAGAAGGATGAGTACAACCTCAAGAACACCATCCCAACTGTGAAGCATGGAGGTGGAAACATCATTATTTGGGGATGCTTTTCTGCAAAGGGGACAGGACGACTGCACCGTATTGAGGGGAGGATGGATGGGGCCATGTATCGTGAGATCTTGGCCAACAACCTCCTTCCCTCAGTAAGAGCATTGAAGATGGGTCGTGGCTGGGTCTTCCAGCATGACAACGACCCGAAACACACAGCCAGGGCAACTAAGGAGTGGCTCCGTAAGAAGCATCTCAAGGTTTGGAGTGGCCTAGCCAGTCTCCAGACCTGAACCCAATAGAAAATCTTTGGAGGGAGCTGAAAGTCTGTATTGCCCAGCGACAGCCCCGAAACCTGAAGGATCTGGAGAAGGTCTATATGGAGGAGTGGGCCAAAATCCCTGCTGCAGTGTGTGCAAACCTGGTCAAGACCTACAGGAAACGTATGAAAAGGTTTCTGTACCAAATATTAAGTTCTGCTTTTCTGATGTATCAAATATTTATGTCATGCAATAAAATGCAAATTAATTACTTAAAAATCATACAATGTGATTTTCTGGTCCCTCACAGTTGAAATGTACCTATGATACAAATTACAGACCTCTACATGCTTTGTAAGTAGGAAACACTGCCGATTTTGCAGGTTATCAAATACTTGTTCTCCCTACTGTATATAAACCCTGGATTGCTGATGCTATGTATTGTGTGTGTGTGTGTGTGTGTGTGTGTGTGTGTGTGTGTGTGTGTGCGCACATGTGTGTGTAAAACTACTAACTACACTGAGTGTACAAAACATTAGGAACACCTGCTCTTTCCATGACATAGACTGACCAGGTGAATCCAGGTGAAAGCTATGATCCCTTATTGATGTCACCTGTTAAATCCACTTCAATCAGTCTAGATGAAGGGATTGCTAGTCCGTAGTAGGAGCAGTCCTCCATAGGAATAAACGGAATTCTACAGTATTAAATTAAGTGTGGACAGTAACACTAGTACTTTCAAAAAAATAATACTTTAAGGAAAATATTTTTTATTTTAGTTCACATAATTTAATTTAAAAGTATGCATAAAGGTGTCTGTAATAGAATAAACGTGGCAAAAACAAATAGACGTGAGTAAATGCATTTCTACAGCTTCCAAAATAAACATATATTACAACGGTGGGGGAGTTCCAAGATGGAGGCGCAGTGGCTTCAAAACAGCGCCCCCTGGCAGTCATCTACTGTAAATACATAGAAATCATTGGTTGAATCTCAGAACAGCTTCATTTTGTAGTTGGGTTGAGTCTCTCTTGTGCAAAGTGTAAGAATCTTAATTAGATGTTTCTTCCTTCTTGTTTGTTCTTCATCCAATTACATCCAGTGTTATTTATTGTGAACCAGTCATCCAGAAATGTAAAACATACCACTGTGAATTCACCAACATAGTATTAGGCTGACGCTTGATGGGTTGTCATTTCTCATTTCACTTTCCCTTACTGAACTCTCTTACCATTTTAATAAATTGTTCTGAACTGAATAACTGGTGTTTATTTACACACATTAGACTATGTGTTCAACTTTCAACTAGTTTTTTTCTTTGAGAAAATGACAAGCAATAGACAAAACCCAGAATGATAAAAGACAGGAACGATTTTTTGATATAGAAAGGACGGGCTATTACAGGAGAACAGAACCAAGTGATAGGAAGTTATGTGTCCGTCTTTTCAGCCCACATCCTCTTCCCCCTCCTCCTGGTACTGTTGGCACTCAGACACCAGGTCCTTCATGTTGCTCTCGGCCTCAGTGAACTCCAGCTCATCCATGCCCTCCCCGGTGACGGAACAAGGCTGTGAACTGCTCAGAGATGCGCTTGAACAGCTCCTGGATGGCTGTGCTGTTGCCGATGAAGGTGGCGGCCATCTTCAGCCCACGGGGGTGGGATGTCACAGACCGCGGTCTTGACGTTGTTGGGGATCCATTCCACGAAGTAGCTGCTAGTTCTTGTTCTGGACGTTCAGCATCTGCTTGTCCACCTCCGTGGACATGCGGCCACGGAAGATGGCGGCCACAGTGAGGTAGTCCTCTGTAGCTCAATTGGTAGAGCATGGCGCTTGTAACGCCAGGGTAGTGGGTTTCGATCCCCGGGACCACCCATAAGTAAACATGTATGCGCACATGACTATAAGTCGCTTTGGATAAAAGCGTCTGCTAAATGGCATATTATTATTATTATTATTATATTATTATATTATAGAGTGTGTGAGTCTTAGCATCAAACATCTGCTGGGTGAGCTCAGGGACAGTCAGGGCACGGTACAGCTGGCTGCCTCTGCTGGTGAGGGGGTGCAGGCGGGGGAAGGGGACCATGTTGACAGCTAGCTTACGCAGGGCAGCATTCAGCTGGCCAGGGAACCTCGAGCAGGTAGTGACTCCACTCATGGTGGCTGACACCAGGTGTGATTCAGATCACCGTATGTGGGGGGTGGTCAGCTTCAGGGAACGGAAGCAGATATCGTACAAGGCTTCATTGTCTATGCAATAGGTTTCATCTGTGTTCTCTACAAGCTGGTGAACTGAGAGGGTAGCATTATAAGGCTCAACAACAGTGTCTGATACTTTGGGAGAGGGCACCACGCTAAAGGTGTTCATGAATTCGGTCTGGGTATTCTTCACGGATTTTAGAGTTCCCCATGCCGGATTCTGTGTCTCCACCCAGGGAGTGAGTGAGTTGGAATCCCTGTAGACAGCCACAGCTCTCTGCCTCTTTCCTCACCTCTTCCAGAACAGTCCGTCAGCTCCGCTCCCTCTGTGTAGTGGCCTTTAGCTTAATTGTTACCAGCACCACTCTGCCCTGTGAGCAGAAAGCACACAACATGTTTATAAATGTTAGACATTTTCAATATTCATTTAGAGGTAGAGACCCCACATTAACAAGCATACGTACATTTCCCCCCCCCCCCAACTCAACTTAGCTAGTTGAAGTTATTTGTGTTGTATGACCTGAGTGATTAGGCTACACATTGAACATCTTTGACAGATGACACCCCCATGATATCTATGCTAGCAAGTAGTTAGCTAACGCTACAAAATCCAATTTCCCAAAGACAAAGTTATCTGGTATAAATATTTGTCCAAATGGTCCAGACCGAACTGCATCCAATAGGAGGAAGGTATGTCCCCAGAACTGGTGGATCCTGGTGGATCCTGGTGGATCCTGGTGGATCCCGGTGGATCCTGGTGGATCCCGGTGGATCCTGGTGGATCCCGGTGGATCCTGGTGGATCTGGAAACATATTTTCCTGGTATTGTTGGAACACAAATACAATAGAATCAACATCAGATACTCAAACTAAAAAGTTACGTTTAGTGAACTGCTGATGCAGTTTTATTGGTTGTGTGTTTTTACCCACCAGTTGCCTCATTGTAGTAGACATTTATCCTCTCCAGCTGAAGGTTGCTGTCCCCATGGTATGTCCCTGTTGGAGCTATTCCATGCTCATCACTAATCACCTCCCAAAACGAATAAAAAACGAATAAAAATCAGTTAGCTAGGACGGTGGCAACCTGAACAGACATAGCTACCTTACGTTAATCAACGTGGCGAACTTGGTAGCTAGCTAACGTTAGCTACCTGTGGTCAGTAGACTAGATAATGTTAGCTAGCAAGCTCAAGGTCAAACAACGTTAGCTAGCCTAGCTAACGTTAACCGTTAGCTAAGTTGACGTTAGCGCGGCCTTTAGCTAACACATTATTGAGCAAACAGCAGATAGCTAGCTAAATGTATAGCTAATCATCAACATAACCCACCTTGGCGCCGATCTGATTTCCACCCGTTTGGAGGTGAACAATTTCCCTCATTTTACTATTATGTGACGATAAATACTTAATATATTAAATAAAATATTTAATAAATGGTTGCTAAATCTATTAACCACCAAACCGATCAATGACTTTTCTCTAACTCCCCTTCATCTACACTGATTGAAGTGGATTTAACAAGTAACATCAATATGGGATCATAGCTTTCACCTGGATTCACCTGGTCAGTCTATGTCATGGAAAGAGCAGGTGTTCCTAATGTTTTGTACACTCAGTGTAGTTAGTAGTTTTACACACACACGTGTGCACACACACACACACACACACACACACACACACACACACACACACACACACACACACACACACACACACACACACACACACACACATTTTGAAGTTTTTGCTGCTACAGAATGAGAGTCCTAAAATCCATAGTAATCCATTGTCGGCTCCAGCTTCCTCAACAAAGCCCAATTTAAGACCCATTTCTTCAGTTTACTTTTCCAATCCAAGCCCTTTCGCCACATGGGAGCAGAGAGACAATGAATCAAAATGCAACACAAAAGAAGGGCAGAAAAACAAGTCAAAATGAGAAAAATGTTGTGTGAGAGAGAGAGTAGAGAGAGAGAGAGAGAGAGAGAGAGAGATGAGAGAGAGGATGAGAGGAAGAGAATGAGGACGAGCTAGAGAAGGAGAGAGATGAGAAGAGACGACTCCTCGATCCGCAACTAGTCACCGGGAGTGATCGTATTCTACGAGTGCCGCTTGTCTGCTTCTCTGCCTCTGAATCGAATAGCCTCTGTTTTGTCATTAAGATGACATTATGATTATGTTGTGTGGTGTGTTGTGTGGTGTGGTTTGTGTCTGTGTGTTGTGTGTGTGTTGTGGTTGTGTTGTGTGTGTTGTGTGTGTGTGGTGTGTGGTGTGTGTGGTGTGTGGTGTGTGTGGTGTGTGGTTGTGGTGTGTGGTGTGTGTGTTGTGTGTGTGGTGTGTTGGTGTGTGTGTGTGGTGTGTGGTGTGTTGGTTGTGTGTGTGTGTGTGTGTGGTGTGTGTGTGTGTGTTGTGTGTGTGTTTGTGGTTTGTTGTGTGTGTGGTGTTTGTGGTGTGGTGTTGTGTGTGTGTGTGTGTTGTGGTGTGTGTGTGTGTGTGTGTGGTGCGTGTGTGTGCGGTAGCCCTAAATGACTATCTCTCTGTCGTGAAAGTGTTTGTCCCAGGAAGCATAGCGGCGCTGTCCATCTTCCTCCTCTCTCTTCCTCTTATTGCCCGGCCCGGTGGGAACGTGAGGCACCTCTTTCTTTCTCTGCCTGCTGATTCAGCTTTTCCATCTCAACCAGGAGAAGGGAGAGCAGAATAATCTATCTAATCCCCAGGGAGAGGTCTGTCGGTCGGACTGGAAGAAAGAGACCAGACAATTTGAGAGATTGGTGTTTTTTTTCGATTCTGAGGCCGAGCATAAAAGGGGTGAATGAGATATTCCATCTGTCCAGTTCTGAAATGTCTGTCAGCGCCACGTCACATCTTTATGCTGAACTTCCACCAGCACATCATCTTTATGCCTTTACACAACAGTCCTGTCCTCTTGTACCTCTCCTTCTCTTTCTGTCTCTCTGTTACAGGGTGTTATGATGAGTTCCTGGTATTGAGAAGTTCAAGATGCAAGAATTTACTTAGACATTCTGTGGAGATTTTATTTACATTTTTACATTTTAGTCATTTTAGCAGACGCTCTTATCCAGAGCGACTTACAGTTAGTGAGTGCATACATTATTATTAATTTTTTTTCATACTGGCCCCCCGGGGGAATCGAACCCACAACCCTGGCGTTGTAAACGCCATGCTCTACCAACTGAGCTACATCCCTGCCGGCCATTCCCTCCCATACCCTGGACGACGCTGGGCCAATTGTGCGCCGCCCCATGGGTCTAGCTTTTATACCAAGTATTTATTGGATCGCGAGCTCGTGGGTTCATCTAACAAACGGACATGGCTTTGCCCTTCGTCAGTTGAACTAACTTGAACAAAGGAAACACTCTACCTTATATACCTTCTGTTACCATCTTCCTGGCATACATCTGGTAAGTCTCCATGGGCACTCCCTGTCTTTGATGTTCATCACTCTTTACCCCAAGTCACTATCCTGTCCATCAATCATGCTATCCTAAACATCACTAATCTACCTCGACATAAGGAATGTAGACTTCATGGCCCCAAACCACTCTAATGTATTTGTCCTCTTGCTCAGTTGTGCACCAGGGCCACTCCTCTTTCTATTCTGGTTAGAGACAGTTTGCGCTGTTCTGTGAAGGAAGTAGTACACAGCGTTGTACGAGATCTTCAGTTTCTTGGCAATTTCTCGCATGGAATAGCCTTCATTTCTCAGAACAAGAATAGACTGATGAGTTTCAGAAGAAAGTTTGTTGTTTCTGGCCATTTTGAGCCTGTAATAGAATCCACAATTGCTGATGCTCCAGATACTCAACTAGTCTCAAGAAGGACAGTTTTATTGCTTCTTTAATCTGCACAACAGTTTTCAGCTGTGCTAACATAATTGCAAAATGATTTTCTGATTATCAATTAGCCTTTTAAAATGATAAACTTGGATTAGCAAACACAACGTGCCATTGGAGCACAGGATTGATGGTTGCTGATAATGGGCCTCTGTACGCCTATGTAGATATTCCATATAATAATCTGCCGTTTCCAGCTACAATAGCCATTTACAACATTAACAATGTCTACACTGTATTTCTGATGAATTTGATGTTATTTTAATGGACAAAAAAAAAAGGTTTTTCTTTCGAAAATAAGGACATTTCTAAGTGACCCCAAACTTTTGAACGATAGTTTATATATTATTTATTTTATTTCTTATTATTTTAAATATTTACACCAACACTTCTACTTCCAGCTTATCCATACCATATAGATATTTCGGACACAGTATATTTTACATTAGTTCTCTTTTGTTTGTTTTTAGTCCCAGCCTTCAACTCCCATCTATCTCTGAAGACCATCCAGTTTTGGTCTCTAGCTGCCATATATTTTTCCAATGTGCTGTGATGTTTTACAAAAGTTCTGAAACGTTCTATTCTCATAGTTTCTACAGATCGTAAATTAAAGATAAAAATGTTTTGCTAAGAGTATTATTCTATTATTGATCGATTGACTGGGACTTTTCAAATCACACAGCAGTGCTATTTGTAGAGTTTGCTTCAAGTAATTGGTGCAATTTTTCAGCCATTCCTGAACCTGCAACCAAAAACAAGCTACATATGGACAGTACCAAAACAAGTGATCTAATGATTCTGTCTCTTCGCAGCAAAATCTGCAGAGCTGGGATGGTTGTATCCCCCGATATATATAACATTCGATTGGTTGCAAGAATTTTGTATAATCATTTACATTGGAAAAACTGTACGTTTTGAATCCGGCATTGTTTTGTGTATCAGTTCATAAACCATGTCAAATGTAATGTTATTTGTCACATACACGTGTTTAGCAGATGTTATTGCGGGTGTAGCAAAATGCTTGCAAAATGCTTGTGCTTCTAGCTCCGACAGTGCAGTAATATCTAACAAGTAATATCTAACAATTTCACAACATATACACAATACACACATATCAAAGTAAGGAATGGAATTAAGAATATATACATATATGGACATGTGTAGTAGTGTGATGTTGTTCCCCTAGATAATGCACCAAGCTGCACACAAGGACCAGTTCATGTAGGCCAGGTCAAGAGGGGATGTTAATAAGTTAATAATAATAATAATAATAATTCAATGTGTTTTCTTTATTTAATTACAGCTGCATAGCTAATGTTATTTTTTGGTGTACACATAAAAAAAAAAAAATCTATATTGTAAATACACCTGATTGTAAAAGTTTTGTATATTTTTGGTTTGGTCCATCGCGGGTTATCTGTACTTACGTACCCTCTTAGTGTTCTCTTTAGCCTGACCTTCAACTAGCCAGGTGCCCGAGAGCCGAGGCTGCACCAAGGGCTAACATATTGTGTGTTGTCTCTTCGTGTGCAGGTCGAATAAAAATGATCCAACCAGCAGACCTCCAGTTGTGGCAGTGTCCTAATTAAAAGTACACAACACAGAACCAACCACGAGCCAATGACAGAGCGGCATGAACTAAGATACAGTAGAATATTATAGAATACAGGATATACAGTGGGGAAAAAAAGTATTTAGTCAGCCACCAATTGTGCAAGTTCTCCCACTTAAAATGATGAGAGAGGCCTGTAATTTTCATCATAGGTACACGTCAACTATGACAGACAAAATGAGATTTTTTTTTCCAGAAGATCACATTGTAGGATTTTTAATGAATTTATTTGCAAATTATGATGGAAAATAAGTATTTGGTCAATAACAAAAGTTTCTCAATACTTTGTTATATACCCTTTGTTGGCAATGACACAGGTCAAAACGTTTTCTGTAAGTCTTCACAAGGTTTTCACACACTGTTGCTGGTATTTTGGATCATTCCTCCATGCAGATCTCCTCTAGAGCAGTGATGTTTTGGGGCTATCGCTGGGCAACACGGACTTTCAACTCCCTCCAAAGATTTTCTTTGGGGTTGAGATCTGGAGACTGGCTAGGCCACTCCAGGACCTTGAAATGCTTATTACGAAGCCACTCCTTCGTTGCCCGGGAGGTGTGTTTGGGATCAT